CCATTCCCCAATGTCCCCCTCTCACACCAAAATAAATAAAATGTCCACTTAGTTGCAGACATATAACCTGCTGCTGACCTCAGTCTCCATCTGGTCTGTTGGTTCCTCTAGTGTCAGGAAGATGGAAAACTGTTATAATCTCCCACGTCAACAGTTCCCTAAAACTGTTCTGCTGGATGGGAGAAGGCAGTGCCTTCAGTGAATCAAGATGAGAAGAACGTTCTGCAAACACCCATTCTGGCTATCTAAAAACTTATTGCCCACCATTGAAGCCACAAAAATTATGACATATAAAGTAGGAGGAAAATAGACAAGGAGGAATGAAGGCGATGACTTTATTAAAACACTAAAGCATTCATTCATTAGATTTGTCAATGAAGAATTTTCTGAATACCATCTTTCTGACAACCTGAAAAAAATTCTAGACCAGCTCTCTTTGATAGGCCACTTCCATTGAGATTTCTCCTTTTCCATCAAACTAGACATGAACTACAAAATAATTAGTTGTAATTTAAGGTCTTATAGCATGCTGTTAGATATTGTTTGTTATGATTTGCAAGGTTGATTTATATCTATATTATTATTATTATTATTATTATTATTATTCTGCTTTTTCCCAAAAAATTGGGACTCAAAGCAGTTCATAATTTAAAAGGACAGTACAATTAAAGATATACAAAAAGAGAGCATTGAAACATAATGAAACTATTTGTAGTATCTATATTTATCTATCTATCTTCATATATATGCACACATAATTATGTAATAATTTAAATTTAATAAACAAATTAAGAGTGAAAAAATCAGGAAACAGGAGTGGTTTGTCATTACAACTGGGAAGAAGGGGAATCCACATGTGGAAAGCTTCTATAATTGTGCATTTCTTTAAAGTTGCCTGTTGACTTATGGAGACCCCATGAATTTTATAAGGTTTTCTTAAGAAGGAATGCTTAGAGGTGGCTAATAAATCTATGCTGGACTTTACCCCAAACTCCAAAACCGATTCAGCACCTTGGATGGCTACTTAGATTCACCAATGCTGGCATGGAAGTTACCAACTATCACTGAGTATAACTATAACTTCTTAAATACACAAAACAGTGATATCTTTATTGGGCCGGTGCAGCACCTAAAAGTTTTTTCAGAGAGTACAGATCTCATGAGAAATTCAATGTTCTCTGCCAAAGAAAGGGGCAGCTAGCCTCACATGGGACAGAGATTGCTTGAATTGCGATGGAAGTTACTTTACTGTTGCTAATGGATTTGAAACTTTATTGTCTGTTTTATTGCCCTTTCCCCCTGGTACCCAAAATGGGGGTGATCTCTAGTTGAATAGATATCCCTCTCTTAACTGACAACATCTGAGACAAAATATAGGCCTATAACTCTAACTTTGGGCCATTGCAGACCAGCCCAAAGGGCCGGCCTGGGGGTAGAGTTGGGGCAGGGCAACTGCACACCAGCCGCCCCAACCCCACCCCAATGTGACCTGACACCACGCAGCCATATGCATGGTGCGCAGTGTCAGGACGCCCTTCCAGCGCAGCATGCAGACATGCTGCGCCGAAAGAGTGCAGAAGAGCCATGGCACCAGGAAAAGGAAGGCTCGGGGCTGCGGAGTGGGGTTGCCACGGCCCCGATCCGGCACTCTCCAGGGTGGCTCTCTGCCGCCCCAAACAGGCTGTCTGCATCGGCCCATTGTCACTTTTCTTCTCCTGTATGACGTATTAACTTCATTGTCTAATGAAGAAGCCAGTGAAGCTTCAAAAGCTTGTATGCTATATTTTGTGTTTTTTATTTGACCCAGTAAAGGTATCATTCTTTTTTTGGATTGTGGATTTAGGATTTGTATTTTGCTGCATGGCCAACATATCTACCCCAAATTTGCAACTTCTTAGGGTGCATCTGCACAGTAGAAATAATGTCATTTTGACACCACATCAACTGCCATGGCTCTGTCCCATAGAATCCTGGGATTTGTAGTTTGGTGAAGCACCAGCACACTTTGGCAGGGAAGGCTAAAGATGTTGTAAAACTAAAAATCCTAGGGTCCCATCAGATGGTGCTACCACACTTAAAATGATGCCAAACTGCATTAGTTCTAGAGTGTACATATACCCTTACCTTTTCTAATTAAAGGGTGTAGCTTCACTAAATGGCAAAGGAGGAATATTAGCTAGTTCAAATATTGGCTTGTTCTGCCACTTCAGACTTCTTTGAAGATGCTGAAATCACAACATGGAATGAGAAGAAAGGTTTCGTTTTTAATACAGGCCAGCAGCTTTAAGTCTTTAAAATCTAGTATGTGGAGGATACAGGGGGGCATTGGGAGACACCACTCAGATATGTAACTATGGTGGTTATGTAGCTAAGTAGGCAATACAGAATCACAACCATTAACTTTAACTTGTTGGCATAGTTAATTTCCAAAAATAAGTTTCCAGGTGTTTACCATCCCCAAAGTCCTTATGTCTGGCACAAAATCAAAAAGGAAAAACTGCGGACATATGTTCTATTTTAGCTCTCTTGAACCCAATTCAATCACTTAGTTGTAGTTCACTTTAAAAAAAAAAAAGAATCCAAAATAAATTAGACAGATGAATTTACTGACAAATGAGAAAAACAGGCAGACTCAGCAGTGTGAAATGAGAGCAGAACATAAATGGAAAAGTAGTTACACATAATGGTTGACTGGGGAAAATGTAAAATAAGTGCAGGGATAAGAGAACATTAATTGAAAGGTCAAGACAGTTGGAGGGGGGATATAAAGACAGAAGCAATTTACAGAAAATAATTTACAGAAAGTAAAGAAAGCTTTAGTCAGGGAGTTTGGGGAAGATTAGGCCAGTTGTAGACCACTCTGGCTCTGAAATTCTCACATTTTCAAGTCTTATGATACATTTTGGACAAATAAAATATGCACAAATCAATGCATACATTTTAGAAATGCAAACAGTTAAGAAGGAGTGCCACTGAAAAATAGAAACAAACATGCTTGAATCAATGAGGAAAGTGCATACCGTCTATTTAAAAAGCATGCCTCAATATGCACAACTTTTAATGCAAAGGAATACCAATAGATGTAAATTCCCTCTGTGAGAAGGAAGTTTAGCATGATCTCCCTCGTGAGAAGTAAAATCAACCCAATATGAGCCAAAGATGGGATGAGAAGGGGATGCAGAGAAGTGTAGTAAAAATATGACTGAAATATTTCCATATCTTCATAGCCTAGCTGGTCTCTTTACCAACCAAGAATTTCACTTTAAATATTAATAGAGTTAGCTACTTGGCAGAGGTGTCACTATCCAGGTCTGGTGTGTCATGCATAACTCAAGCTGGAATCATTCACAAACCCTGGAGGCGCAGAAATCTGATCTGGTTACTATGGACGTTATCACACGGGGGCAAATCTGCTGGTTAATCCACACAAAACCCAAACAGAAACTGGATTAGTGCCCCGTGTTTTCACACAACGTCGCACAGAAACTGGACAGAAACTGGTGTTAACCGCGATCTTTTGAAATTCGGTTGTTTGGAGGAAATGCAAATGTGCAATTAAGGTAATTTCGCATTTACCATAATGTGATAGCGAAATGCGCATTTGGAAGCATTTCCCCGTAATTCCCCATGGTTTCGCTGGGTTTCCCATGGGTCAGCGAGGCAGCGTCTCCTTATTATGTTTACTTCCGGTTCTGCTCGGACGACAAACTGGCTGGCCAGACATGGCCCTCTCTGCTTCGTCTTCCTAAACATATCTCCCTTTTACTAGAGATATCGGGCCGTGGTTGATGTGGGGTTTGTGAAGGGACACAATTGGGGATGATTGCTACTCTCTGTGTGGGATGCTTTTCAGGGGCAAAGAGAGTAATAAAAACACAA